ACACAGGGACCCCAGGAGGTAATTTTCAGGACTACTTGTCACCACAGGAGGTACTTTTCCCCAAGCCAGAAGGCCCAGCCATGCAAATAGGGGGACCTATGGAGGAGCTTGATCATTATTATGACCAGCAACTAGGAGATGGGCAGTGAGGGGCAGCGCCCCCACCCCTCGCCATGGGGAAAGAGGCAGGGAAGGAGGGTGCGTAATAACCTGCTTTATGTTCAGTATCTGCTATCTCATAATAAGGAGTGGAAACATTATTATAAGTGTATATGACCAATTGATGCATAATCATTAATAATATATTAATCCATTCATATTTAATATTATATTATAGATATCATTATACTAATATAGTACTATAGTTATAATATTATATTATAATCTAATATCAGTAATATTGATATTATTACAAGCTCATACTAATATATTATTAATGATATTAATATTGTTATTGACTCCTATTATTAGTATTACCTGTCTACACAGGTCTATACAGTGAAAGTTAACAATAATTATAATGCACGGTATAATATATATAGTAGTTCAATTGGCAGGGGGCATCATGTGCATGTGATCACATACACGGGTACATGGTAGCTGGGCAGCCTGGAGAGCAGCTCCCGCAGGTAGGTTTGGGGTGGGGGAGGAATTGAGGCCCCCATAGGGAAGAGAGGGAGGGAGGGAGTTGGGCAGGGCTGGGGATGGTGCCCAGCTGGGGCCATAGCAGCATGGGGCTTCCAGTGGCAGCCTGAGCACCCTTCACCCCTGGCCTTGATCTGCCCTGCGGTGCTGGGTCCCACCCACTGGGATGAAGATGCTCTGTGGGGAGGGCAGCAGGGTTGGGGGCCTGACTGCCCAGCAGGCAGCCTGAATCTGCATCCCCCCATGGGCTCTGCTTTGGCTGTGCCACCCGTGGGGAAGGGGAGCTGAGCCCCATGCTCTGCTCCAGCTGCAGCAGCTGCCATTGCCTCCCATGGGCAGCAGCAGGGCTCAGGCTGTGCTGCTGTCTGCAGACCCAGGTCCCTGGCCACATAGCCCTGGCAACTGAGGTCCCCCTTGTGCAGGGAGGGGGGGGGCAGAGGGCTGTGGGTGGGGATTGAGGGGCACTGGCAGGACTGGGGGGCTGTGGGTGGGGAGCAAGGGCACCAACAGGGCAGCAGGGCTGTGCATTGGGAGTGAAGCGCACTGGCAGGGTGGGAGGCCTGTGGGTGGAGAGGGGCACTGGCAGGTCTGGGGGCTGTGGGTGGAGAGTGAGGGGAACCACCAGGGCCCAAGGACCTATGGATGGAGTGTGAGGGGCACTGGCAGGGCTAGAGGCCTGTGGGTCAGAAGTATGAGGCACTAGCAGGTCTGCAGGGGCTGTGGGTTGGGAGTGAGGGGCAATGGAATGGGCAAGTCACTAGCATATCAAGGCTGCTCAGCACCACAAAGTGGGGTGTGGGGGCACAGCCCGACCCGTGTACTGGTGAGCAAAGGGGTAGGAGGAGCTCTGATTTTCCACGATAAAAAAACAAAAATCAAATGCCAACATTTATAGGTATTTATAATTTATTTTATTATAGTGACTGAGGCACTGGTAGGCTTCCAAATTACTTTAAAATTGTAATTATTTCAATAAAACATTGTGTTCAACTGATACCTATTTATAGTATTGTTTAATTTTAATCACAGAAAAACACAGATTTGGCGGGGGGGGGGGGTTAACCAGAGAATTTGCAAATTTTTATCAGAACATTTGTGATTTTTAAACAAAGAAAACCAGGCTCCCTGGATATTAGGAAGAACTTTCTCACTAGGTGGGTAGTAAAACACTGGAACAGGTTACCCAGAGAGGTGGTAGAATCTTTATCCTTTGA